GCCTATGTAAGCAAACCAAAAATCTAAGCCTGTAAATGCCTCAAGGTAATGGAATCGAACTCTAAGGACAACCAATCACAATAAACTAGGCATTGAGCTACAGCCAATCAATAATTTTCTTGATTTGCTTTCGACTTTTCTCTATAAAAGTCTCTCCACAGATCCCATTGGTAGAGCCCTCCTAACCACTTCTGGTTTGGCACTGCCTGTGGAATTGACTTTTGCTCAAATAAACTCTTAAAACTTTTAATATACCTCAATTTAACTTTTAACAACACCAAAGTCGCCTAAGAAGTGAACTGATTGCCTAAAGTTATTTGTATCCCAGTAAGATACTGCATATTTCTGAGTGGTTCTGAAATAGGTTCAACTGCAAGGTGACCCTTAATAATCCTTAGGTCCATTATGCTACTGTTCTCTGACGAGCATTCCTACTGAGTCTAAATAATGGACTATTTCCTTTTAGATCTGTATGGGAAATATAATTCCACTGACTTGTAGGGGAATCATTACAATGAATTTTAGTTTTCATAAATAAGGCACCTTTGTGGGAGTCAAAAATCGGTGTTGAGGCTATTAATATTGTAGAGGAGGAAAATTTTTCTCTTCTACTCTTCTAGGTTCTGTGGCTGATCTAAGAATTAAACTAACACTAAACAGATTAACAGAGAAAAAATTTAACTAGGTTTTTAGGATCCCCACTTAAGACAGCCTGAAGATTTAGGCTTATAGACCATCCCGGGCTAAGCCATTTATTATTTTCCTGCATCACCCCTATTCAGCCCTGTGTGATCTCCTGATAGAATCCCTGAATGTGGGAACTTAGATACGGAGGTGAAGTCCTTTGTTTAATATCCTGCAACTAAAAATCGGCAAAACGAGAATTTAAAGGCAGGAATTCTAGCTCCGAGAGGTCGTGCTTTCCATCACTCCCCCAAGCACAGGTCTTTGGCAGAGAATGTTGCGTGGGAAAGGATGAAGGGATTGACTTAGCCACCTCAACCCTGCCTTGGATCCTGACTCCCTCAGAAAGAGCCAAGCCTCCTTCTCCACCATAACAAAGAAATGTTTGGAATAACCACATTCACCTGTAATTCTTCTGAACAGCCCACGGACACAGTATTTTCTAGCCTCATTTTCAAAGAAATGTTTACACTGATTCACAAACAGTGACTGTCGGTGACAAAGTACGAGAAGGGTCGTAGATGATGCCCGTCTTCCTCCCAGGAGGTGTGCAATGCCTTGGTAGAGCCAATAGAGGGCACTGCGCCACTCCACCTCTGCATCTCATGCTTTCCCATCACACACACTAAAGCTCCTGAACCTCCAAGCCACACAAATGAACAAAGTGAAGAGCAGCGGGGTGAGCAGGCGGGAGTCAGAGACAGAGCCAGCTTCAGGGGTGTGGGACGTGTGCAGTGACACAGAGCATTTAACACCCACACTTGGTTTGATGCTCTGTTGGTCTGTCCTGAAATGTTTAATAATTTTTAGCAGAAGCTCCACGGTTTTGTTTTGTACAGGGCCCCACAAGTTACACATCAGAAGTTCTGGTCAGAAGACTTGGAGCCGGGCACTTCCAGACACATTTAGCCTTCCCTAAGGAAAGGTTTGCTGTAGACCTTTCTTCATCAACTGTTTTTACAACCCAGGTCCAGCCATAAAGTCTTTCAATCAAACCCCCTCTAAAATTAGTTGGGAGATATTTTGCCAGTGCTTAACTAGGCTTTAAGCTATCGCCAACCAAATATTTTTTTTCATGTCCAAATTCCACTCTCCATGTGGGGAAGGGTGGGAGGGAGTCCAAACAACATAGTTCCACCGAAGCGCAGATTCGGTGCATGGGTGGCGTTGACCTAATTACTGCAAGTGATGCTGAGAGCCAGGGGGGCTGCAGACCTGGGACCGGAAGTGGCAGGTGAAGCCAGAACGATACGGCTCAGAAGCAGACCCTGGAACATGGGAATCAGAGAGACAGAGAGATTAGTTCCAGCAGGGAGAGGTGTGCCAAGAGAGCAAGCAGGAAGTAAAAAGGGCAACCCTGGCGTTGGGCCATTGCCCACGGCTCATTTTTGACATCCTTTTCAAGGCTCGCGTTCCTCTCACCCACACAGAGGTAAGACGACCACTCTATGTAAAGCAGCTCCCATACACTCTTTAAGTCAATGTCAGCTTTGTGTTCCTTTGCTTGCACTTACTATAATTTTTATTTCTCTGTTATTTACTTGTGTATTCCCTGTTTCCCTCTCTAAACTGTAAGTCCTCTGAGGCCAGGAACTGTGTCTGTTGGCTTATTTCTAGTGTTCTCACAGGTCCCACATGGCTGATGCCCCGCAAGCACTGCATTTCTTGAAAAAGCAGATGGGGACGAGCCGCTGGTCCTAAAAAGGCAGTGAGCCTGGCACTCCGAGGCGGGGGAGTATCGGATTCGCCCTGCTCTCCTCAGTGTCTAGACCCTCAGGTGCTAGTGCCTTGCAAATACTTAACAAATACAATGGAATAAATGAATGAATGAAATTGTGTGTGCCTTATAAACCATCAGTGTGCAGGTCACCTTAAAATCCTTACATACATAAATCAGGAGATTCTGGTTTTATTTTTCCATTATGTAGATGCATATACTTTACTTTCCAAATCAAGGTACATTTTAATGGATTCTAAGATTACTTTCTTATATTCTCTTTGTTAGTATGGCATAATAATGTAAATTATTTCTCTCACACAGTTTTCCAGGCAGTTTCTGAGCAAATAGTCAATGAATCCTTTGTTTCTCAGCTTAACAATAACCCACAACCTTCGCACCAACTGGAATCCTTTGTTTCTCAATCAGATGGTATTTGATGAACAAAAGTGTGACTACAACCATGCAAGGTATTCCCCTTTTAAAGATGAAATTATAGGAGGCTCATATAGTTTCTCATTGACAGACATATTTTAAACTCACCAGGATTCTTTGAAAAAAAAATGCTAACATCTATAAACTGGAAGAGAAGTTTAGGATTCATTTCAGACTAGAAAAGTCAAGCTAAATTTTCCTGATTTATTTCTGGTGTGTTCTGTATTCTGACTATGCTAAGCACTGTGTATATACACACACATATACATAATTGCGTGCATGTATTAGAGCTTTCCTTCCTCGAAAGTGCTGGTAATACAGCAGGAGAGTTTCTATCGATCAAACATCCCTAACAAATGCCACAAGAGGCCAGCATTGTCCAAATTGTTATAGAAGCAGAGGGCAAGAAAAGCGAGATCACTGCTGATATAATCAGGGAATGCCTCAGGGCAAAGGTAGAATCTTAGATAGGTCTTAAAACAGTTTTGTTTCAGTAACTAGTATGAGTGACATGGAACATTTTATATATGCTAATTGGATAGAATCAGCAATGCAAAAGTCCATTTTTAATATCCCTATGTGTTGTTACTAACATCAAGGAAAGCTTACTTGGGAAGCCAGAAGTTTCAAGTTTCAGCTCTTAAAAGATCACATAGATAGAGCACACTCTTAAATGACCTTTAAAAATTAAAATGTCTATGTGTGTGAATTCTGTGAAATTAGTGAGGTAATGAACATGACAAAATGGCACTTCAAATCATTTTGATAAGCAATGTTTTATCTGAGACCAGTTTAAAATCTTAAAATTTTAACTCTGTTATTTAAAAAAAAAAAAAAGAAGAAGAAGAAGAAGAGAAAAGTAATGAACCTTTCCAGTTTTACTAACTGGTACGCAGCAGAGAGGGGACTCCACCTCAGCTTTCCCGATTGGATCCAGTTTTCTTGCCCCCACGCTCTGCTACCTTTCGCCTTAAATGGGTGGATTATCCTAGTGCAGTTTACACGTCTGTGCTTGCCAAACTTTGGATTTCATAACAAAAACTAATAAAACGAAGTCTCCCACTCAAAGAGTGTAGATAGGGCACAGTTGGCAGTGGATACACTTTCAAACTGTTTTTGAGCAAAATTTTCAAATTACAATAATTCATATTTTTGAACTTACTTTACACTAGGAACTGCATTTAAGCTTTTAAAATGTGTCATTTCATTTAATCATCCTAACGGTTCTATCAGGTAGGCATTATTTTTAATGTCTGGTCTACAGGTCCGGAAGTTGAGGCAAGTAAGTAGAAGTGAGAACTCGCCCAGGCATCCAGCGGGCAAGGGGCTTGGGTCCACTCAGAGCTCATCCCCTTAACCGTGGGCTACGAAGACAAAGCTCTCTCGGGGGAAGACCATTTCTCCCGACTGCGGGCTGCCCCGCGGCATCACAGCCCCGCGTTCGTCCGCGTCACGTGACTACCACGGTCCCGGTGCTGTGGGAAGCCTTCCTATCAGTTACAGAGTAAGGAAGGATTATTACTTATCCAGGGCTGCTGACTCACTCATCAAATCTTAAACCAACGTGAGGTGCTCTGGGTGGGGAAGTCATAACTGATCTGGCCCACGCTGGGGACGAGTCGCGTCCCAGAAACCAGGAGAATACCTAGGCAGCACTAGGTGAGGTGAGGCTGGCGCCGGCGCCGGCGCCGGCGCCCGGCCAGGGCGCACGTGGGGCCGGGCGGAGGGCGGGCCCGTGGTCCGGGGGAAACCTGCTTCCCGGGGTGGGGAGGCGTAACAGCGTCGGACCGGCCCACCGAGCAGACCTGGGAGGCGGAGGGGACCCTGACCACCAGCCGGCCGCTCTCCAGAGCCCAGGTCCTGGTTCGGCGGATTCGCAGTTCCCACTTTTCCCGTGTGTGAAAATACTTTTCTCCTCATCTCCCAGGCCCCCGGGCCGGAAGGGGGTTTGGGCCCAGCCACTTCGGCCACGCCTGCGGCCCTCGGTCTGCATTGATGCGGGGCCGCTCCGGACGCGGGGCGCGGGTGCGGGCGCGGGTGCGGGGAACGTGCACACGCGAGGGCTGCGGAGGGAACACCGGGGCTGCAACCGAGCCTGGCCCGAAGGAAGCGAGTGGGCGGGAGGAGCCGGAGAAGTGGGCGGGCTGGCTCCGCCTGTGGGGTTGTTGCAGCTGGGCCTCGACGGTCGCAAGTCAGCCTCTGCTCGCCGGCGCCGGTGCAGGCCCCGAGCCGCCCGCTGGTCGGCGGGTGCCCCGGGCAGGAGGCCGCGTCACGTCCGCGGAGGCGGGCGGGGCGGGCCCTAGAGGTGAACTGGCGGCGGGGCCGGGCGGGAGGGGCCGGGCTGGGGGCGAGGGTGGCGGCGAAGGGGGCCGTGCGGTCCCAGCCTGTGAGGCTCAGGGTCGGTTTGGCAAGGAAAGCTCTCCCAGGGCCTCGCGAGGGGAGAGCAACCCGAAGAAAAGAATTGCTCATATTGAAAAGAATTTTGTTCAGGAGCCACGTTCTGAGACAAAACCCTAGTAAACCTTTTGTATTGAAAATGCTAGGAACCAAAAAGAAAATGTTAGGAGGGAGGACTTTGCATTAACTATCTCAGATTATCATATAGCTCTATTAAACAATAAGAGTATATCAAATAGAGACGATTTTTAAATTTTTACCCCAAGAGGAATTTTACTGTATTTATCTTGGGTTGTTCTCACAATTGTTATCCTGCCTTAAGGATCAACTTTTAACAATTTTAAGAGAGTTTATGTAGTTTTACGTGTACATTTGATACACAAGGTAGTAATTCAATAAACTTAAAATATTCAGCTAAAATTCTCTCACATTTAAAAACCACTGATAGTTTGTTCAAGGACTACAATATTAAAAAGAGGAAGGAGATGGGATTTTTTAGTGAAGTAACAAATTGTCAGGCAATGTCTAGGTTTTGTTATACCTTATTTTAAACAGTAACACACATGCCTGGGTAATTACTTTAGGGATTTTACTTACCTTTCCCTTTGTTCTACTTGCCACTCCGCCTTCCTCAATCTAGAGTGCCTAAATTTCAAAGTTCTATCTTCTCCGTCCTCTTCGCTAGAGAAAAGTCTGAGCATAAGTGTCTCATACTTTTACTTGGTTTTTCTAGACACTTTCCTACCCCCAAATGTAAGTGCTGGCTGGTTTGCAAAAGTCAGTTTCTCCATCCTTACTGGATTTCTTATCCTTGGTTCCATAGGACTAAAACCAAACCTCTTCTTCAGTTCAGCAGTCAGCTGGCTATACCCAAAGATTATCCTTACATAATATAACAAGAGAACAGAAAAATGGAGTGACGGCGTTGAGCATATTAATTTCCGTATGTCTTATTTACCAAACAGGTTACCAAGCAAAACATGAAAAGGAGGTGTGTTCACCTACTCTATAATGCTGTAACAAAATGCTACACACTGAGGGGCTTAAACAACAAAAATGTATTTTCTCACAGTCCCGAAAGCCGAGAAGTTCCAAATGAAGGTGCCAGCAGGGTTGGTGTCTGGTGAGGGCCCCTCCTTGGGGTGCAGATGGCCACCTTCTTGCCATGTATTCACGTGACCTTCCGTCTGTGCGGGTCACTTTGGGGGTTTAGTGCTTCAACAAATACATTTGGAGGAGTTCACAATTCATTCCATTGCAATTAGCACAGTACCAGTAAATATAGCTAAAAAACCTTTGTGGCATGATAGTTAAAAATTCTGAGTGTAACGGAGCTCAAGTCAATGCTCTGTGAGTGGAGCAAAGAAATATCAGTATTTGCGTTACTATTGCTATTGTAGCGCTTTAGATTTTGTTTGTTGTGTAACACTGTTTACTCTGACTGGTTTAGACATGAATCAAAGCAGCGATGGATGTATGAAAAAGATTACCAGTGTGAATCTTGACAAACTTATTCAAGACTTCTCACAGATAGAAAAGGTACGTAAAGCTGTCAAACAGTTGAAGTGTATAGGAGCTGGAAGAAAGAAAAATGTACAGCCCCAAAATGAGCAGGGTAAAGATCAAGGAAATGTACTTTGCTAAGTCCTTCATAATTTTAAATATGTATTTAAAATATAGGCCCGGGCTGGTGTGGCTCAGTAGATTAAGTGCTGGCCTGCGAACCAAAGGGTCGTCAGTTCAATTCCCAGTCAGGGCACATGCCTGGGTTGCAGGCCAGGTCACCAGTAGGGGGCACGTGAGTGGCAACCACACATTGATGTTTCTCTCCATCTCTTTTTCCCTTCCCCTCTCTCTAAAAATAAATCTTTTTAAAAAATGTATATATATATGGTTTTGGCTCATTTGTACTAATGCATCTAAATGTTTCTGGGGCAAGGGAATGAATAATTGAAAGACTTTTGCTTAAGTTAAAGGGAAAATACATACTTAAATGCCCAAGATGTCCATAAACACAGGAATGATTTAGTGAAAACTGAAGTAGACTCAGTCCTTAATAATTAACTCTTACCATTATGACTTTCACTGATAGCTTTTTTAGTCTTTCCTATTCTATCTGTTCCCTTTTCTTCTCTTTTGCCTAAAAGCAGACCCATTGGAAGTCATCCCTCCCCAGCCTTGGACAAGTTACATGGCAGAGCAAGTCCCCAAGCATACATTAGGGGTTTTCCCCCTCCTCTGTCCGGGAGAGGGGCAGGAACAGTTGAGAACACGGAGATGGATAAATTAAAGACTTGGGGAGTGGGTTTGTGGAGTAGAAGGGGGAGGGGCAATAATACCTACCTCTGTTTTCTCTCCTTCTCATCCTTCTCTATTCCTTCTTGTCATCTGCACAATGTAATATTGTCATAATAAAAGAGTTTCATTACGATGGATATTTTGAGATACCATTATGAGCTTTTTTAAAAACAATGAGCTTGTTTTTTTTTTAACAAAGTGTTCCTTACCAAAATGAGAGAGAACAAGATTTAGCACTGCTGGTGGGAAAGAAATTGGTGCAAAGTTTTTGGAGTTTATTTTGTCAATATCTATCAGATTCTTAAACACTTTAAATAAGAAATATTGTGATAATGGTATTGTGATTGTATTTTTGAGTCTTTTAAAGATACATGTAGATGGTAATATTCATGGATGAAATAATCTAATGTTAGGGAGTTGCTCTGAGATAAATTCGGAAGTGGTGACAATAAGGAGGTGTGAATAGATGGTACGTGACTGGTCATCAATTGATGATTTCTGAAGGTGTTCAACGTGTTCATGGCAGGTATGATACTATTCACAGAGATACCAAAGATACATTCAGGAATGTTTATTGATTATCTGAAAGAGGAAAAGAAACAACACAAATTCTCCTCAATAGGAAACTAATTAAATTGCAGAATTTAACAGCTCAGTGAGTGAAACTCAATGCAGCTGTTAAAAAGAATGAGCTAGACCTCTGTGTGCTCACATGACATCATGTCCAAGGTAATACTGCAAAGTGCAAACCCAAAGTACTGAACAGAGTATAGTGTGATCCTCCCCTACAGTTGTATAATCATAAAATATTTTGGAAACTTATATAAGGAATTGTTAACCAAAGGACTGAAGGTTAAACAGTTGGAAAGAGAAGGATACAAGTTAGGGCAGACTTCATTATTATACTTTTGGGTACTAAGTGGTTTGTATTTTCATTAGTCTTTATGTACTTAGGTAAGAAAATCAAAATGATAGCATTGATTTGGTAATAATTATATTGTTTCTTCTATAGAAAATGATAGAAACCACTGGAAAGAACAATGTACTGGATATGCAGTTGGAAAAAACTAACTGTTTATTAAAAGGAATGCAAACAAAGGAGGTCTCACTTAAAGAAGGTTAGTTTTCTTTGCTACCTGAAGAAATACTAATGCTAGTGAGAGTGGGTTTTGGTACAATGGTGATTAATATTGCCCCATACGTTTATAAAGTATTTTAAATTCACATAGCACCTTCTAGACTATCATTTTATCCTTAATATAGCCCTGGAAGACAGATAGGACTGGTATTATTACTCTCCCTCAGTAATGAAGGAAAATAAGATAAAAGAAGTTAAATAATCTGCCTGAGGCCACTTGGCTAAAAAGTGGCAAGTTCAAGATTCAATGCAGGCCTTCAAAACCATGGGAAAAAATGCAGTTGAGTTCCTGCCTCACAACAACTCCAAACGAAATTTCAGAAAGGTCAAACGTTTTCGTGTTAAAAATGGGCACGCAGGGTACCACACGTGCTCCACTCTCTCCTGAAACCCCCAGCTCCCCCCGTGGCGGCCCCTCAGCTGGGCCCGCTCGCAGTTTGTGCCTGAAAGAGAGCCTGGATCCCTGCTGGGAGGGCCACTCACTGAGGACCTGACGTTTCTCTGAGGTGCGGGCTCCAGGGCAAGGGGCGCTGGTTAGTTTGGGGACAGGGACTGGAGAGAGAGTCACTTTACACCATACTTGTGTTTCATGTGCATTTTACCTTTAAAAAAAATAAGTACTTTTTTAACATCTAATCCTGATTATTTTTCATTTAAATGCCTTTTTGCTGAATAATACAGAATGGAAGTAAACGAACAATTGAGAATGACAATGAACAGAGTCCAATGCATATGAATTCACTTAAGAAGAATAAGTGATATATATGATTGAATTTGTTCGACAGTAATGAATGAGATCATGATATTTTACTTTGCACATTTGCCACCAGAAAAAGAATTTCTTTGCCATTTCAACCTGGTAAATAATATTAGTATTGAGGACCAAGTACTGTAAAAATTACTTGCATGCATAATTGTTTTACCATTTCCAACTGCTTTATGAAATAGGTGCTAATGAGCAAATTGCTAGTTAATGGTAGCGCCTAAATCTGAGCTCAAAATAATCATTGATTTACTAAATTAGATAGTATAAGTAGCTTACTATTCTGACCTCTAGTTTTTAAAAATTGAATAGGACTGTAGTATTGTTCAAATTACATTATAAAGTCCAATATAAATGATAATTGGGTAAATGTTTGCAAAGAAAGTTAACATCCATCATTCTGAAATAATGAATGGGAACACTTTAGAATAATGAATACGTAACAATTCCTTATTAAGCCAGTGTCCTTTGTTTAAAAAAAAAAACTGTTGGGAGGGCCACCTTGTGTTCAAATTGTGAAGTGCACGTTTTCTAAACTACTTGCAATTTCAGGGCGCTGTTTTTAATTTGCTGATCACTGAAGAAACTTCACCTACCACATTCCACGAGTTACTGATTTCATGGCTCTAAAAGATGCAAAAAGCAAGTGATAGCTGAGCCTCTGCCTCCTTGATTTTTCAGTTGTAGCAGCTAACACAGTAACATCCATGGAATGGGTGTTGTCAAATGTAATTTAACCTTCATTCTGTTACTGGGAGAAAGCGAGAGAGAAAAAAATGGAGGTGGTGGGAATTTTGTCTGGATATGTGGTGAGAATGGTAGAGGGAGCGTGGGGAGAAGTGGAGAACCACAACAGTGGAATCTGTTAACGCCATAAAGCTTACGCCTTCTGCGGAATTCTTTAATGTCTATCAGTGCACGTGGAGACCGCGAGCCGGGCTTCTCGCTGAAAGTAAAGTTTTGCATTCTCCCCACACAGCGCTGGTGCTTACATTTAGTCAATAAATAAAAGGCTATTGAACACCTATGACATAGTCGCCATGTTAGATGCAAGGAATATCAAAATAAAAAGGTGTCGTCTTTACCTGAAAGAGTTCACTGTCCAGTGGGAGAAAACACAAATTACTAAAACATAATATGATAAAGGAGGAAAATAGATATACACAAATTGTTGAGGGCCATAAAAGAGAAAAAAATAGTAGCAACAGCAATAACTGTATTGAAAACTGTAATAATGCAGGAGCTCTAAACTGGGGAACTGCTTACGTGTTCGTGATGCTCCAAAAAAGCCCCCTGGAGGACTAGCAGGTACGGACACGCCGTTTATTACTCACATCACAGCGGCAGCGCGTCAGTGCGAGAGACCGCGCCTCCAGTCTGAGGCTCCGTATAAAGGGTCCCAGACAAAGGGGGTACGTGTCCTTCGCGTGACTCTGCCTCATTACCTCAGTGTGTAAAAGGGCCAAGGCACAATCACGGGATAAGAAGCCGCTCCCGAAAGGAGATAAGGAGGGAGTTACAACCCATTCCCAAAACCATCCACATTCCTTCTGGCCAGTGGCCCCCTGACCAGCCCTCATCATGGCGGGGGGAGAGCCATGTCCACATTGACCCCACAGATACTTGAGAGTGAACTTAGCACATTTTCTCATTTGGTTGTCAGAACAGTCCTATGTGTGAGAACAGCCTTCTTCGTGAGGTAGGATGGGTACCTTTTATTTTGCTGCGTAGCTTAGCCAGGAGGTCATAGCTGGAAAGTGAAGGAGAGGAAGTCTAATACAGTCCCTCTGACCCCCAGTTCCATGGTGGCATCAGCACACCCACGGATCCTGAGGAAGAGGTGGGTGAGCAGAGTAAGAGCACAGATTTGAAATGAGAGAAACTTGTGTTCCTGTGTCTACCTTCCATTTACTAACTGGGGAATCTTTGGCAAGTAACCAGACCTCCATGGATCATTTGCTACTTCTGTAGAATCAGGATAATGATACCAACTTCTGAGGTGTTTGTTTTTTTTTTTGTGTGGGTTTTTTTAAAGATTTTATATGTTTATTTTTAGAGAGAGGGGAAAGGAGGGAGAAAGAGAAGGAGATAAACATTGATGTGCAAGAGATACGTTGATCTGTTGCCTCTCACATGCTCCCAACTGGGACCTGCCCCGCAACCCAGGCATGTGCACTGACTGAGGATTGAACCTGCGACCTTTGGGTTCGCAGGCCAGCACTCAGTCCACTGAGCCACACCAGCCAGGGCTGAGGTGGTGTTTTTAATGCACTTAGTATAATAGCTGGCAGAGTAAACATACAATAAAAGTTACTATTATTGTAACTAGGCAACTTATTCAATACAAATGTAATATTTACTATTTAATCATCAAAACAAATGCCCAATTAGAATGGCAGCTGGTTAATAAGTCATACAAGTACATTATCAGCTGAATATTGGTCACAGACCTATAAAACTGGAAGAGAAAAGGCTCAGTATTTATTAACTATTAAGCAAAGTGCACACAGGTGAAATTGCCTTTTAACCTTAAAGTTATATTTCTTTTTAAAAATATTGTTATTTTATGAAGTTATTAATCATATTTAGCTAGTATAATTATAAACTTAAAGTAGCGCAACCTATGTTTCCTAAGCTTATAGTAAAGATGCGACAGCAGTAATTATCACAGAGTCTTTGGTTCTGCTTTTGCTCCCTTTCCAGAATCTCGGTTTACACAAATTACTGTGAAGAATTTCTCCTGAGCTCGCCTTCTCAGTGTCAGTGAAGTAGCTGAAATCATCGCCTGGTGCTGGACTGCCGGCGTTCACGTTCTGGCACTACCCCTTCCTAGTTAGGAGTGCGACCTTGGGCAATTTCCTAACCTTCTGTGTGTCCACTTCCTCGTATGTAAAATGAGGCAAATACTAGGACCTACCTCATCAGGTTAAGAGGGATAAATGATTTAATATTTGCAGAGCCCTTAGGATAGTGATATAGCATATGTTGTTATTTTAAGACCAGAGTTTCTCCACTTAACTCCTCTCTTGCTTCAGCTTACAGAGGTATTGCCTGCCTGTGAATCGGTCTCTCCACCAGTATCTGTGGAGTGCCTGTTATGGGCCACGACTGTCCTGGGTATTAGGGAGAAGTGGTCAATGAAACCAGATAGCCCCTGCCCTCCTGGAACTTACAGCTAAGCAGGCTCCCCCGCTGTTGCTCCCCACCGAAGGCTCAGCTGTTGCTGGAGGTGTCCAAGAGTGTACTGAAAGCTTTATGCACTTTGCATCTGGGCACTAACGCTTGCACGGAAGCCTTTGTCTCCCGCTGCGCCGGAAGTCCTGGGCACCGAAGGGCTGGCGCCCTGGAGCAACACTGAGTTCTTACTCCTTTGATTGCTGCTCCCGTGCCCGGGGACTCAGGCATAAGAGTGTAAGAGGACAGGGAGAAGGAAAGGCATTATCTTATTCCAAATGACACCTCACCAGCTCTGGCTCTGTGTCTTTGAACGAAGCTGAATGTGCCTTGACTCTGTCCTTGGGGTGTTCTTTCAAGGAAACTCACACGGATACACCCCTCCGAGTCCCCGGGCAGCCCCACGCATGCCAGACGTGCGCGACAGCAGTTGCTCAGGTGCAATACCGGCCTGACTCCCTGCCCTGCTGGGTCCCTGTGCCTTAGGGAATCTTCACTAAACCCCGAACTGCATTGGACTTAAAGGGCGACTAGAAAGCATTGTCATATACTTTACTTCGAGATGCCTGGTTGCTTTATTAAGATCTGATCATCATCAATTAAGTATTATTTTATTTTATGTGTTTCAGTTTTGAGAAAATAATTCCAAAATGAAAGCAAGTAATCTTTGAATAAATTTATCTTTTTGGTTTAGAGTGCGCTACTCTTCATAATATGATAAAAGGGCTACAACAGACCATTGAATATCAACATAATTTGAAAGGTAAGTTAGAAAAAATAAAATCTAAATACATATATTTGAGCACCTTTAAAGATAGAGAGTTTTTACATTGTCGATAGTAATTTTCTTTTAATTTGGTCTTGTAAATTTATCAGCCAAGGGAAGGACTCCTTAAGATCTTCCTCAATTACTGTGAAATAAAAAAATTCCCTGTGGAACAGAACAATTCAGTCATATTCTGACAGGGACATCAGGGTTTTACAATCTGTCATAATGGTGCTGTTGGTCTTTAATGGACCACATCCAGCTCTGAAGGGTAGGTATTTACTAGTCTAATAGTTACATGATGAACATTCTACTCCAACTGCAGTACTGTTTCCTGTGTAAGTTTGCGTCAAGACTAAGGCTGCCTTTGTGTGAATGGAGCTGACACGTTCAGCTTTCTTACTGGTGCGAGGCATGTGCACCCAGTAGGCCAACTGCGGACAGGCCAACGGATCCCTGAAGTGCCCTGTCCCGTTCTGGCTCAGCCACAGTGCAGAGCCTGTGGGGCTTTCCTCTGCCCTGTAGGAGGTTAAACTGCGCTGCCTTCAGGTTCCCTCCAGCGAGTGCCCCACCTTGGTCTTCTGCTTTTGTCATGGAATACTTTACATACGTGGGTGAGGTACAAGAGTGATCTTACACACCATTTATTTGATTTGGCATGTTCTTTATTATCTTTGTAATGTTCTAATTGAGATTTATCTTTGTTTTTAAGAATTACTGTTCTTACTCCCCCGTCTGCCATGTTTTCCCTTAAAAATATGTCCTCAATGTTAATGGAACAAATATAGAAATTGTATGAGAAGACTTTGCACTTACACGGTCAAAAAGCAACTGCAGTGTAGGAAGTGTTCACCTCCATACAACATACCGCTAACTGCTGTCCTGGAGGCTAAGCAGGGTGATGGGTGGGGAGCCATGCCACCTCCGTCAGCCTCGTCTGTGGCCGACTCCTGCAGGCTCGGATCCCCACACAGCCCCCAGGTGTTCGCGTTCCTGGACGAGCATCCTGCTCATTTTTTCCAGTGTTTCATTCCCATCACACATCTGGTTTGGCTTTCACTTTCCAATCTCAGTGCTGATGGCTCGAACAAACTTTCCCTTCTCTGTGACTAACTACAACACTTAGCTGCATTTAAAAAAGTACATTGATGTTCATAATTATTTAATCTTCTTATTTTAGGATTTAAATGGCATTTAACTTAACTGTTTTCAGGACTTCATTTCAATAAAACATCTACCAGAAATTAAAATTGATTTTTTTCAGTTTCCAGAAAGCCAGCTATCATTCAATAGTGAATATATTATTTCTTTGCAAAAGGATATCAAATATTGACCAATAGTCACAATACCATCTTTGTACAGATATGATAATACAAATATTTAAGAAGCACTTTCTGAAAATAGATATTTCATGGTACCTCTCAGGAAGAAGTGGTGATTTACTGATCTCATTTTACCAGTGCTTCTATAGGCCTTGGTTTGGGCAAAGTGGTAGATGGGAACTACCCGTCTTTCACTTCCTTCATTTCATCCATTTGATTGTCTCGATTGTATGGTTAATTTGCTTATTTAGGCTATGGAGCGGTTACAAATGGTTGTACAATGTTGCACAAAAATTAATTCTAAATTTTCTAGAAAACAAAGCAAAACAAAATAAGACAAAAAGTTGGCCAGTTATTTAACTATCAATATTTGATTTTTAAATAATAAAATCAGTTTATTATAAGACAAAAACTTGTACAGAATCTGAGTACATGCTACTTGTGGAAGATCTCAATTTAAATCAACATTGCCTTTATTTAGGCAACCAAGTAAGGACCTTTAATGTAAAAATATTTAGATTATGGAATGAACTTTTTACAAAGCTAAGCTATATCAGTCATCAATGTTACCAAAGAAAACCCAGTCACTATATGTATATAATGAATCTGGGAACAATTCACTCTTAAGGATTTTCCTCCCTGTTTGATGCCAATGGAGAATAACCAGTTTTAGAAAAATACATTGCAAAATTTTTAGAATCTAAGAAATTAAAATAGATTTTGACTAGGTCAGAGAAAGATTACTTGTCAGATAGCAGGATCAGGTGGATTCTACAGTGATACAAAATGCTATTCGAATTTATAACTACTCTAGTCAGAGTAACAAAAGCCTTATTCCTTGAGCAGGGAGCCATGGGTTTGGAAATCTAATGCACGGGCTGGTAGGATGATGGAGAAAGCGGTGCTAACAATAACCGTGTGTTGACTGTACTGCCGATGAACGCCAGTGCAGGGCCAACCGAAGTATAATACAAAGTATTAGGAAGGTTATCTGTTTCTTCAGTAGATGGCTTTCATTCACAGGTAAGTCATGTGGTTCTAGTTAGCCTACTTATAGACATGGCAAAGCCAGATAATATGCAAGTAGTATAACATTTAGAGGGGCTGATCAATTTCCCTGGCAGAAAGGAGAATTACATTATTAAAGTGTCTGTTTTCCTCAAGTTAATAAACACATTTAATGCAATTTTAATTAAAATACTGAATTTGGGGTGGGGGAGAAGATTGTATAAAATAATCTTAAAGTTAATTTAACAAAAACAAGAAAAACAAGAGTGAACAAGAAAACGATGAAAAATAAGATTATGGGGAAGGGGGAACTTCCATTACCAGATAACAACATGCCCTGAAACTGTTAGAATGAAATTAATATAGTATTGGCATTGAAATTAGAAAATATATCCATGGAAAGACTAGAGAACTAGGTTCTAGAAAAGGCCCCAATATTTGTGAATGTAATAAATGGCACAAGGAGTATTTCAATTTATTGGAAAAAGAATGGCATTTTAACATATGGTACTGGTACAATTTGCTTTCCATCTGGAAGAAAGTTGGACTCTTTCCCACCACATCAATAAAATAAATTCCAGAGGGATAAAAGACTTCAGTGTAAAACAAAAAGAATAAAAACATAAAAAGAAAATCTTCGATACAACATATACAGCCTAGCACTATGGCATATCTTAACCAATCCAGGAACCTCAGATGCTATGTAAAGAAAAAAGTACCTTAAGAGACTTCCTTATGCACAAGAGCATCAACAAGAACAGCAATGAAAAAGAACTTGGCGTGTTATTTTGTCACATACAAGTCAAAAAAATAATTATTTGAAAAAAATGTTTTCAAATACTAACATATAATATCTACAATATACAAAGAGCTCTACGAATTGACCAGCAGAGGTGAATGAAACTTTTTTAATGGGCAAAAGGTATGACTAAGAATATGAGAACATGTATGTGTGTATGCATATGTATGATCCAGAGGGTAGAAGCACAGAGGAAAAACACAGAAGATACACAGTAATACCAGGGTGTGGAGGCAGAGGGCGAAAGGAGGAGAAAAATGAGGCAGCGGAGGAAGGCAGGAAGATGTTGAACAAGAGAGGGGGATTGTCCAGAAAGTACTTCAGCATGTCTGCTGTCATCCTATGTATATAAAATTAGAAAAACATATGCAGAGAAAAATTACAGACTTGATGGAATGTCCATTTTCAAGAAATAACTTCTTTGCAAAATACTGAGTAGAGTACAATCTTATATTGGTAAAAACAAGTAAAACCAGTAGAAGTGTGTGATGTGTTTATATAAAATTGTATAAGCAGAGAGAAGCGTAGGGAAGGAAGACAGACCAGGCTGTACACACTGATGACTTCAGGGAGGTGAGTGGGTGGGGAGCGACGATGAGCTTCCCTTTACAGGTGCTTCTCTGATCAACACAAGCAAGTGTACTTTCATAAAACGGAAACATCAAATACCTTTTCTGTCAACTTTCAGTGATGGATGCTGCAGCACTTCCAGTAGATACAACAGGTGTTTGTTACCTCCATATCACGGTCCCTTTTTAAGCAGGCACCAGCCTTTCATTATTGTGACAAGGAAAAAAAACACCTAAAATTGAAAATCATACAAAGCTCAATGATGAAAGAAAGTAAAGCTCATTTATTATTATAGTGATCAAAGTCATCTAAAATCTCCAGTTTTCTAATTCTAGAATACACACGTTCTACAAACAAGATACATTTCACCTTGGGTACCTACAGTTTCCGTGGCTCTTAGCGTATTGTGTCCCTGAGGTTTGAAAATCCCATTAGAATTGGGGGGCGGGGGGAGGACCAGAAAACATGTCTTTTGTTCTAAAGGGAGTAGGATATTTTATAAATAAGTGTTGCAGTTGAAAATATTTTAAATTGTTGGAGCTTTCCATTCAAGGAAACATCAAATTTTCCAAAAAAATTTTTTGTAAAACTGAAGCCACCATCAAGATGAAGCCCTGTATTTTCAAATGTGACCCTTCAAAATATAACACTTTCTTACCTGTCTGATTATAATCTTTGAAAACAAATTGGTTTTATATTTTTATTTTCATTTTAATGGATATTTTGTTGCTTATCATCTTCCCCTGTAAATATAGTTCTGGCTTTTCTCCTTCTGCCCCAAACGCCTCTATTCTGATCACTGGAGCTCCAAACTTTACAGGAACTGGTTGCTCTTCCTCCCCAAGATTATCTATTTTTATCCAAAAAACTCATACTCATTACCTCTTAGGCATGCCTCCGCAATAATTTCATAAGTGGACTCCGTTTCCAAGGTCTCCTCTCAACGTTGCTATACTGTAAGACAAACCCTCCTAAAGCGTTGCTCAGATAATGTCAGAAGTCTCTACTGATCTGTTGTTGCTTTGGCTACTGCTTTATGTTATGTTAAGGTTGTGGGGATGGGCAGGGGTGTAATAGGATGTTGAGTGGGATTTTTCCTATTAAACTTAAACTGGTAAGTAAGGCCCAAGATTTTTATTTTAATTTTTAAGTGAAACATTCTCACATTCTAAAGAAAACTGCTAATGTTGCCAGAAGTTGGGGTGAATTCAGACTCTTGCTTGGTTAGCCCGCAAAAGCGATTCACCACCACCAGAGGGCGCTAGAAGCCTGGACGTTACCTACTGTCTCTTCTCATCCCTCTCCCCAACCCCGAGACCGAAAACGATCAAAGGGAAGACCCGGATTCCTTCTCCGTTCACTTCCGCTGAGCCCTTCCAGCCGCAGATCTGGACAGTGATGGGGTTATGAAAACTTTCACATTTGAAATAGGAAATCAGAATTTTAAACTGACCTGAATGTTTAACAGTGGAAACCACCGCAGAGTTTTGTAATTTGCCCAAAATGTCATTAATATATAAGCAACTCCTAGATGAAGCGAAATTCAACATAGTACCATTGAACACACCAATGGGAAAAACGTATGGTGAGAAGCTTTTCATTTGATATCACACTGAATTTAAACCGATTAAAAACCAGTTTAAATTTAAATGTAGAATATTTAAGTGCAGAATAAATGTCCTCAGGATAAACTAATGCTAATCTTTCGTATAATAACTCAGTAATGCAAAGACAGAAAACCATCCTGCCCTGTTTGTGGCCAGCTCACTCACCTCGGCGCCAAATACAAAACACGAAGTGACTGACCACTTATATTTCTATTATGCCCATTTTCTATGTGCTATCAAGTCCTGTAATCACTAGTTTTACCAATATAATGGAATTTTTACAATTGGTTTTTAAAGTGAAGTACAATTAAGATTGTGAAATGCACAGATCTCAGGTGTATAGTACATTCATTGAATTTTGACTATTTCAGATACCCGTCTCTCTTCACCTCGCCTGGGATGTTGCATCTTCAATTGTTCCTTCTTTTCTCTTTCATTTTCCTTTTTCTATTGGCCATTTTTCTCAGCATTTAAACAACTCAGATCTCTTTCATCTTTTTTTTTTAAGACTCTTTATTTTTAGAAAGAGGGGAAGCAGAAGGGAGGGAGAAAGAGAGGGAAACATTGATGTGCGAGGGATACGTCAATCACTTGCCTCTCAAGCTCCCCCAACTGGGGACCTGGCCTGCAACCCAGGCCCGTGCCCTGACTGGGAATAGAACTGGCATCCTTCCGGTTTGCAGGCTGGCACTCAATCCACTGAGCTGCACCAGCCAGGGTTTTTACATTATGATTATTGTGTTTTTTCCATTACCATTTGTTCCCCCATGCCTCCTTCCACCTCCCTCCTGCCCCCCGCACACACACAGTATCTTTCATCTTATACAAGACGACAAAATTTCCTTGACTTTGGATTTATTCCCTTCAATTGCGCTCACTCTTTCCTTTTACAATCAAACCTCAAGGGAATAATAGTCTGCAGCCAATGTCTCTATTTACTTTAACCTAGTCCTTACCTTAGAACAGTTGGGCATCTCCCAGAGTTTTCATTCAAAGTTGTTTCACCTGACCCTGTTTATTGCATTCATTGCCATTGACTCTGACCCCTTTAGCCTCCTTTCTTTGTACCACTCTCTCCTGCATCTCTGGACACTTCTCAGTCTCCCTCTAGAATGCTCTTCCCTTGGCCACCCCTCAGTCTTTCTCAGCCCACCAGGAACCTTCTCCTGGGTATCAGCCATTTCAAAGTCAGCATGGAAAAGATCTAGATCTATTCTTTCTCTCCTAAAAATCTTCCCCTTTTAATTTTCCCAAACTGCTGAAGATTTTTCAGTTACCAAACCAGAAACCCAAAAGGTAGAGGTTCCCCCTTCTCTTTTGCCTCTGCCATCTGTTCAGTCACTAAAGCTCCTGATAATTCTATCATCCTAACAGTTACCTTCATCTTCCTTTTGTCTCGTACTGCCACTGGCCTGACTTAGGCTCCTGGTGTTTCTAACTTGATCTCTTTCCCAATACCCATTCCTCTAGGTTCACAACCTTCTCATTCATCATGTGCACATTGCTGGATAATCTCTTTAACTGTAACCAATCACTTCATTTCACTGTTCAAAATTCTTTGATGACTCTGTAAAACTTTTTGATGACTCTGTAAAATAAAACTTAAAGCGTTCACATAGAATATGTCTGCCTCCTGTTAGGGTATGGCCCCAACCTATTTGGCACATCTTCCTCACAGCGTCTACTCCAACAGTACTGTACTTGAAGTGTAATTTTCCCAAACATGCTACACTCACTCAAACCCAAAGTCCTCTGTACAGTTTCCTGCATCTGAAATGCCCTCCCCCAACATGGGGCGAGTCTCAGTTCAAGTGGCTCCTCCCCTGTACGTCACTTCCTGACTTAGGCTCTTCTTCCACAGGCCCCCACGGTATTTCAGACATGCTACCATGACACAGCAGTTAGGGTATGTCATAACTTTCTTACCACTAGGCTGTAAGTTCTTTGAAGAACAATTATTTGTTTCAACATTCCAGCCCCAGGCCCTCTGTGCATGTGTCGTAGGCATGTAATAGAGCTGCTTGCAAGTGTTGAATACATACGTGAATGGAAACTTGAAATGCTTAATATAGTCCCATATTAACTGGAAAGTGCTGTATTTAGAATACTCTTTGATGATTTTTACACAGGTGAAAATGAACAACTAAAAAGAAATGCTGATCTTATGAAAGAAAAGTTAAAATCCCATGAACAGGTATGTTTGTATATCTTTACATCACTCAAATCCCTGTAGAACATTTGTCTTCTTAAAGTAGAAAAGAAAAATGGTTGTTTTCATTACTAAAGACAGCCAAAATTTATAGAGTAAATATATGTGTGTGTGCTTGTGTGCTGGAGTTTTTAATAAATAAAAACTTTTAAAGAAATCGAAATTTTGAGGATCTGGTCTTCTTGCAGCTTGTAATGCACTAATATATCACTTGCACTTTTTTTTCTACCAAAAAGAGATTCAGTCATTTTGCTACTTACTTTAAGATTATGTTCATTGGGTTTTTATGCTGATGAGCACTCCTAAACTTTTTTACCATAAAGTAAATGAGTCTTTAATCTTTATGATCCAAGTGATATAGTACAATTTTATTGTACCATGTAAATGAAGGGAGCAGTATATCACCAATTAACTCTCCCGGGGGCCACCATCCTCTCTGTTATTTTCTCTTTGTTTCTCTAAGAACAGCATAGTGATAGGAATTCAAACATATAACAGGGTGACTAGAAACTAAAAGGTGCTCAGTAAATGTCAGCTCCCGCCCCTCTGCCCTTTGGGAGCTTTGTGATGCTAATTTTTCTCATCTCCCAAGAGCCAGTGTGTCACACTCTGACCTAAGATTTCCAAAACTAGTTGACTCTGTATCAAACTTAAAACTTCAGTTTGTAGGATCGCCTCTAAATTCCATCTGGTTCCTCTAGTGAGGAGCCTCCAAAGGAACACAGCCCAGTTCTGACACCCTGCCCGGGGTCTGCGCGGCACTTCAGGTGTTGCAGAGAGCACCTGGCTGTGCCCTGGGGAAATGTAGCTTCTCATCAGCAATTTGAAACCGTTTACATATCTCTGGAATATATCCCACCATTTGTTTCCCTTTCCTTTATCCCTTTCCTTTCCTCTCTCTCCTCCTTTCCATCCTGCCTGTAGAGCTCAACAGTAGACGGTGAAGTCAGGAGTAACTGGGGCAGAGAAGGGGAGAAATGTTTGCCTCTTTTCTCAGATGTGAAGCCATAGGATACTGCTTTGTCTAGAATACTATAGGGCTTTATCAGAGGAGTGAAAAGTAATGAGAAAACACCGCAACCCAAGATTCTGAGCTTCTGCATTAGCTGCTGTCCAAACAAACTAAAGATGACCTTAATCCAATGAGAATTCTCTAGTACAAAATTTTCAATCACATCCAAAACATGTGGAAAACCACTACCCAGAAATAAACTCAGGAGGTACTTAATAGCCATATTGTGGGACTGGGAGAGGTTTTGTAACTTGTAGACAGAGAATCCTTACGTTTTACAAAAACAAAAATACAACCAGAGGCTATTCCTTGTTGGGACTTGGTTCCCTCAGAAAGAGGAAGGGCTGGCCCAGGCTGACGTGGGGCAGGGGAACCTGGTGTGACAGCCCAGCCCAGACAGCGGGGCAGGCTCCAAGCCTGAAGGTTGCAGTGGGGACCCCGCATCTTAGGAATTAGGGGAAGCATCCTCTTCAGGGGGGGAATCTTCAGGCTGCAAAGTCACTGGGGCATGAAAAGATACATAGATTTGCCCCTCGTTTCTCAGAGCCGTAGCTGCTTAGTGCACCCAGTTGAGTGAGGAGTAGTTTATGAAAGCCACTTAATAGTTGTGCATCTAGGAATCTAGACACTTGCATATGAAGTATGGCGATTCGTGAGATTCACCCCAAATTCACCAGCAGAACTTTAATTAAAGCCAGTGATTGGCAGGCTTGGCCGCTCTGCAAGTTGCCTGGCAGGGTATCTGGACTATATCCCCTTGAACTTCTGTAAGCAGGGGGTCTGGGCTGTTTTACCTCCTCAGTATCACTGAATGTCTATCAAAAGCTCTGAACCCTCTCTGAGAAAAATGTCCAACAGTACATATGCACACACATATGTGCATAATTTTGCATACAACTTCAGGAAGTTAATAGATCCTTGAAAGCCCATGGACTGGGTCTAATCTAAGAACTTCTGACCGAAATAAGTCTTACTGGCGCTCTCATTCATTCAGCGCGTGTGTCAGAAGATACACACTGGGGGCTGGGAAAACAGCAGCGATTAAAAAGTCCCTGCCTTTCATAGTGTTGAGAGGCTTTTCTTGACCACTTGTCTTAATTGTCTTTTTCTTACTATCCTACTTCATTTTTCTTCCTGCTTTGCTTTTCTTCTGCCTACATCTTAGGCCTGTGAGTGATTTCTTTAGGAGCATACCAATGGAAAAATGGTAAATTCTATCTTTGAGGACTTTTTCTTCCGTCACCTTCTTGGTACCCCTCTCCATATTAGCATAAGAATTCACCTCTATGGTTCAGCCACCTAAGAAGCTGAGCTCAGGTCCCTGCTGAGCACATCTCAATTCCTAAATCCTCCCCTTTCCAGCCTCTGCCTCCTGAAGCTAATCCTTAAAAATGGTTGATGCTTCATCTCCTTCTGGGAGTTAGAGAAGTGTATATAATTTTTAGAAACATAAAAGTTCAGCCCACATTCCAAGAGATTCATTCTCCATTAGGGGAAGCTTACTGACTATCAAATAGCAATGGCTGTTGGCTCTGAAGTACAGCTTTGGCTTTTATTGGGCATTTTAATGCTGTCATGGCATTTTCTCATATAATTAAACAAAATGTTTTAAACATCTCTCATACGCTGAACACTAGTGGTGAGTATTCAGAAAGCAAAAATAAAAAGATACTACCTCTAGATGGGCTGTATCTTCTTGAACCAGAAATGGGTCCTTCTCAAAGCTAATTATTCAAACAGTGAACAGTATCTTTCCCTTCTAAATATTATTACATGTCAAAAGTGAATATAAAATTTGAAAATTTTACCTCTCTATTCAAAAGTAGTGTACACATTTAAATTGAAGAATAAACATATATTTTAATCTTTAGGAATACAAGAATAATATTGCCAAACTTATGAGTGAAATGAAAATCAAAGAAGAAGGACATAAGGCAGAAATAAAGAAACTTTATCAGGATATGCAGAGAAAAGGTAAGTGTTTTTTTTATTTACTGAATTCTAAGATATAAAACAATTCAAGTGCATATATAAACTTTTTCAGTAATAGCCAGTATTCTTGAATGAATACTGCCTTGATGTATTTCAATTTAGGCTTTCACCTAAATTATGTGATATAAATTATAACATTTCTAAATTGGATTCATGATGTTTGCACTTATTACTTCATATGAAACAATGTTCTTATAAAATGAATATGAAATGGAGAATTTTTATATTTATATATTCAGTATATTGTATATAATTTTACTTATAATTTTCTTCCTTTGGTAGAGCAGATCCCATGAACCTGTGTTGCTAGTCAACTAGTTTTATAAGGGTATAAAAATCTTTATTACTGAGACCATATTTATGTACAACATCATATGCAAACATCACCCTGAAATGGATGACTGGTCTAAATGTAAACCTACATCTGGAAAACTGTGAAGAGTTCATAAAAGATAACCTTTGCAACCTTGAGTTAGGCACAGCTTCTTGGAAAGAAAGAAAAAGCACAAATAATAAAGAAAAAAATTCTAAGTTGAGCTTCATCAAAATTATTAACTTTCGTCCTTCAACACTGTGAATAAGATGAAAAGACAGGCCACAGACTGGAAGATAATACTCACAAATGTATGTCTGGTAAAGGAATTATATCCATGATATAAAAGAACTCTAACAATTCAATAATAAGAACTCAGCCCAACAAGGCAAAAAATTTGAACAGCACTTCTCCTAAGAAATACAGATGGAAAATAAGTACGTGAAAACATGTTCAACATAATTAGTAAGCGGGGAAAATGCAAATTAAAACCACAATGAGATACCACTTTGAACCTCTCGGAACTTCTGAAATCCCTTTTCAAAACGATCAATAGCAAGTGTTAATGAAAGTATGGAGAACTGGAACTCTAGTTCCTTCCTGGGGGGACCATAACATTAAACAGCCACTTTAGAAAAGAATTTTGCAATATTCTCTGGTTCTCTAAGAAGCAGATAATTAGAAAATCCTTATATGTTTGTAAATTATTTCTGAATAACCTGTGGACCAAAGTAGAAATCCTAAAGTATTTTGAACTGAATTGCAGAGACTACACATAAAAACTGGGGGGGCACAGATAACTCTGTTTATGAGTATATTTATAGGCTTAAACACAAATATTGGAAAATGTTTAAATCAATTCTCTAAATACCTATATCAAGAAGTTAGGGGGAAGATATCAAACTAAGACCAAAGAAATTAGAAAGAAGGAAGTCAGATATTACTGATGCATACATAATATTCCAATTTTTTTGGAAAAAAACTAATAAAACTGATTAATTCTAATCAAGACTGATCACAAAAAAATAGAAAGGGTTTCAATTAAGCAATATCAGAAATGAGAAAATCACTTTAAACTTTAAAAAGTGAATGAACTCATAATTAACTGCATAAGTGAACATCTTTTTGCCAATGAATTTGAAATTTTTGATAAATTAGACATCTGTGAAGGATGAAAAGCACACAAAAGGAAATAGGAAATCTGAATTGATCTCTCTCTATTACAGAATTAAATATATTGTCAATATTTTTCCCACAAAGAAAACTCCAGGCTCTGGTGGCTTTAGTGGTGAAATCCTACCAAACATTCCAGGAAAAGTGATGCCAATCTGTCACAAACTCTTTCAGAGAATTAACAAACAAAAGACAGAAAACAGCTTCCAGTTCATTTCAGAAGACTAACTTAATCTTGATTAAAAAAAAAAAAAAAGACTTTCATGGGAATTATGATAAAGAAAATCACATGCCTGTCTTCTCAAATACGAGTTTTAACAATGGTTGGACTTTTTCTGGACAGACCTCATATATTTTTATTAATAAAATTTACTTCTTTGTGGATCATTTAAAATGCTGAAAAACTATAAGCTTATAAGATTTTTTAAATGTTAAGGTGAATTAATTTCATTTATTTTTGTTTAGTTGAATTAAATGAAGAAAAGAACAAAGAGCTGATAGAGAAAATGGAGGTGGAAATTTCAGAGTTAAATGCAAAGTTAAGAATTCAGGAAAAGGAAAAACAAAATGAAATCATCAAACTACAGCTGGAGGTAAATAAAGTCACTGAATGTGAGGACACACCTCTCCGCGCGGACCGCAGGCGGGCACCCCGCTCCTCCTCCGTCAGGGGCCGGGCTTGCAGCCCTACGACTGGCAGCTACGCGGCCTTTCCGCTCTTGGCCTGAAGGTGGGGCTCTCGGTCGTCCGGGAGGTCCTGGTCTCCGGAGAAGGCCTAGTTCCCCGGAGAGAGGCATCAGATAACTCGGGGATCCCCCGCCTCTTGCAGCTGAGTCCACGCAGGCGTCATGGGACTACCGCCCGGCGCGGGGAGAGTGTTTCTAATCCTTAACATCACTCTCGCCTCGGCGGGAATTGTGCAGCCCTGGTGAACCAACTAGCAAGTCCACTGTCTCTCGAGCTAAAAAGAGGCAAATGCCTCCCTAATGAATGTGTACAAAAATATATTTCATAGGGGCGTTTTTATTTTTAATTTTAAAAGGATTTCAAATAGGACATCTTAAAGGCTGACGTCCCAGTTCCTGTCTGGAAAGCCTTTTCAGTAGGTTGTTTAACCAGCTGTCAAAATCTGAAGGTATTAATATGTGACAATATATTTGTTCTTTAAGATTTTTCCCTAGATTTTACCAATGTTCCTTTCTATCCTATTTTACCACATTCCCCCAGCCTGACATGTCACCTTATGTTGTCATGATTCACCATGTGTTAAGATAACTTACTTTTCATGTTCTTGAAAGTTTGGCGTCCCTAGAGCTCTTGGTGACGTCCAGTGTTGAAAACTGGGTAATCACTGAGCAAGAGGGGGCAGTGCTGAGTTTAGAGGCGCCTTGCTGCCACTGCCTCTGGTCACAGGAAGCCATCGCCACAGAACGCACTGCAGGGCCAGCTGCGATACAGAGACCGTGGGTCAAGATCTAGCCTCAGCTTCTAATGCCATCATGGGGAATGTGCGTTTTATTTGCCCCCGGGCCCTGTTAGCCCGAGCCTGCTGTGTGGCTCACATGCAGGACTCTTTTTGCTATTTGTTTTCATTGCAATTATCCACTTCTCTCCCCAAACTAGAACACAATCTCACAGAGAGTTTATTCTTAGTCCTCAGGGGAGCGACACTAAATTATAATGAAAGGGGAGAATTATAACGGAAGATTTTGCAAAAAATATGACCTGTAAAAATGGCCTTATAGAATTTTTTTAACTTGATTTACTTTAATGTAAAATTAGAAAGAGTTCAAACTAAATTAGCAAAAGCATATCCAAATTCTACTATTTGACCTCAAAGTCTGACAGAAGGGTATATGAGTGTTTCTTCCATGACTGCTGATTTCACCACATTTTCTATACAAAAGCACAAAGTTACATGAAAATATTTTTCCTCTCTAAGTTACCTAGAATCTTAACCCTGCATGATAGAAACACCTGCTGTCTTGCGAAAAAGATGATGCTAGCCCCTCCCAGAATCTGCGGTAGTGCCCAGCATTTGGCACTTTTAAAAAGCTCCTCAGGCAGTCTTAGCACGCAGCCAGAGCTAATCTTGTTTTGGTGTTCTTTGCTTTTTTTTTAAAAGACTTTTCTATCTTCTGTTATACAGACAAAATACTTAAATTACAGATTAAATATCAAAGGATATAATAGATTATATTTATGCATATTTATATTTATGCAGTTGTTTCTAATTGTTTAACTAGAATGTTCTCAATAACTTTCTTTTTAAACTTGATTTAGTTTGATGCCAAACTAGCAAGAGTTCAGACTAAGTCAAAACCATATCCAGATTCTACTGTTTTGCCACAGAGCATCTACAGAAGGGTATGTTGGTTTTTCCTTCCATGGCTGCTGCTTAAGAAAAAAATGTTCGCAGTGTGTTTCCTTTCATAAAAGTTGTCTAATAATTTTTCTCTTTTTTTGAAAGTTCTTTTTTTAAAGATCTTATTTATTTCTAGAGAGAGGGGAAGGGAGGGAGAAAGGGAGAGAGGGAGAGAAACATCAGTGTGTAGTTGCCTCTCACGTGCCTCTGACTGGGGACCTGGCCCACAACCCAAGCATGTGCCCTCATTGGGAATCAAACCAGTGACCCTTTGGTTCGTAGGCTGGTGCTCAATCCACTGAGCCACACCAACCAGGGCAGAATTCTTCTTAAAATATATCACACAGTCAAAAAGATACCAGATTTTAATAATGTTTAAAGGCCACTTTCAATTTAAACTTGTAAACCTTAGTAGTTAATGAAAGCCCACTGACTCAGGATTATCTAAGGAATTCCATAATGTTTTTGAACTAAGGCTGACTGACTGCTGAAGCTATTTAGGCACATAGCAGATTTCTTTCTGTACCACTCCTTCTTCATTTATGCTTTCTAACTTCAAGCTCTGTAGGGAGAAGGGAACAAACTACAGCAAATGGTGCTGATGTGTGTTTTTGCATCCTTATACCAGTTTTACCCCATTCAATCCCACAAAACTACAATACTTTTCAACATAATGTGCTTTTTTTTTTTTTTATGTCTACTACTTTAACTAGAAGTTTAGTTTTTGTTGTCCTTTGTACTTAATCTTATTATTTCTGGATTGCAATAACAAGATTTTTCTGCTTCATTTAGAAGCTTCAACATCTTCAAGAGGAAAAAAACAAGGAGATTGCAATTCTTCGTAATACCATTCATGACTTAGAGCAACGCCTCTCTGTTGGCAAAGATTCTTACCTTAAACGTAGACGGTTTTAAGTATAGCAGTAAACTCATTCGTTGATATTTAATTTGTTTAAAAGCAGTTGGAAATTTTACTTCTATTGTCAATATAACATAGTGCCTAAATAATAACAATGAGACAGCTGTAAACTTTTAAAATTGAGTTTATTGAAATAAATCCACACTTTGGCCAACTGTGTACTGCATTCTTAATAGTATTAACCATAAAGGAGTTCCGGTTCATAGGCCTTAGTTTACCTATTCAGCCATCATTGACTATGGAAATACTTTCTAAGCAATCAAAAGATAGACAACATTCTTTTACCTTTCCCCATATATCTTTCAAGACAGACATTCTCAAGTTTTAGAGAGTGTGATATAATGCCAAGTAAAGAAAACAATAGATAAAGACTTCACAGGCAATAGTAAAAATCAAGATTTGAGTCTTAGATATAAAAAAGTGTAAATGGATATTTAAAAGGTAGTTATAGCAAAATACTCATACATTAAGTATTTCTGGATCTTAAAAGACAGAATTCACTTCTTCCTTTAAAGGTTTAATCAGTTAAACCTATAAGATTAAAAAGACAAAGGTAATAGTGTTTTGACAAGTAAGAAAAAATGGAAAACGTGTCTTTGCGGTTCTTCCTCCATTCTACTTGCCAACTATCCAGCAGAAACCCCTAGGTCATAGTTTATGTTCCTGCTTTCATTGAGGCAAGTAGAAAGCTGGAAAAAGAAAGAGAAAGACATAGTAACCAAACCCTGCAATCACCTTTTAGGTGCCTTTCATTTAAAAAAACGGTTGGGGTCAAAATTTTCTTTGGCATAAATCTTAAAATTTGGCAGCCAATATCAAAGATTTCTTCATGTTTGCACAAATTCAATTCCTAATTTGGATCATTATGGAGTAGCTTATAAAAATGCAGAAAGTGAAATTGTGCTGAGAGTGGCTTGGGAGTGTATCCTTTGTAAATATTTAGTTTGAAGGTCATGTTCACATTTCTGCCTTATCTTTTCAGCTTCAGGTGGTGCTGGCTTCTGTGGGCTGGAGCCGCCGGCTGGGCTGTCAGGCGGCTGGAGACAAACGTCACTGTCAAGATTCAATGACGTTCTCCTCTGCCCACAGCCCCTCTCAGCTACATAAAGAGGGGAGGCTTTCCTGACACTGTCATGTGATTGCAGACCCTGTTTTTTCAAATACCAGATGCCGACAATGTCAGCATCAGCTGCTGGGAGCTAACTCTGAATCCTTGGGCAACTTTCAGAGCAACTGATTTAGACACCTCTTTCCTCAGGGCTTCCTTTGCGAAGAAGGTGGTAACGTCTCACCCCCTGGCATATCTCACATTACTGGATCGCCCTGGCTTTGGGGGCCCTTGAGCTTGTGGTGGTGGTGCAGGCTTGGAGCCTGGGGGTGCTCAGACGCGGGGGGTGCTTCTGGGTGCTGGTTCTCTGAGGGCTGGCCGTGCCGAGTGTGTGTGTGCCCGCCGCGCCCGTGCCCATGCCCGTGCCCGCGCTGGTCGTGGTCATGGTGGTGGGGCTGCGGCTCTGGGGCCTCAGTCGTTTTTCTCACGGTGACCAAAGACACGTTTTTACAGAAGTCTTCATCGTCCAGGGTCTGGAACAGATTGATCAGTCACTTATCAACAACACATGTAGAGGTGTAGCAGGAATGCATGAAAATGATTTGTAGAGTTAACATATATGAAATTTGAGCTGTTAAATTAGGATGGAGCTGCCTTTGTTTTTCTAGCATAATACTAGTGAGGAAACAGTCTGGTGTTAATCTTAACATCCAGGTGTTTTATTAAAGTTTGATTCCTATCCATATCTAATTGTAAAGTGCTATTTGTGCAAAGTTTGCACTTAATCAAGGAATCCTCAAGCATGTTACAAATGACTTAACGTTTTGAAACTAGATAAAATAGAGTGTAATACAATTAAAGTTCAACAGTTCATCTCAGCTTTATACTGGTTAAATCAATAACAGAATTCAGACTTTCCTGTTCTTATCAAGAACATTTCCTAAATTTTCAAGAACTCTGTAGAAGAACTTGAGAGGTACAGAAGAAAAGGTTTTGAACTTCACCGAGCTTCGCTCGCATGCCCCTGATGGTGGCATGGCCACTGAAAAGCTCAGATCACAGCCCGCCTTCCACAGCGCACAACGCCTGCCGGCCCGCACCCGGGTCTGTGACCTGCTCAGAGTCGCCTGCTCTGTTTTGTGTGCTCACAGACCGCATGCTCGAAGCTCACAGACACAGCAATGTCGCCTGAAACCTCAGCCTAAAGGTATTTGTCGGTCAAGCTACAAAATCAACCTGAGAGATCAAAGGCTCTCTAAGTGGCTTGGTTTGGTGTTTTAAAGGTTTTGAATGGTGATAAAGTCCAGTGGAATCTAGCATACAACTACTAAGCAGTACTTTTTTGTTGTTATTTCTGAACTACTTTTGAGAAATTAATACTATTTGATTAAAAATGTAAACACAATTTGATAAACATTTAAAATATACTGTGTAATGTTCTAAGTGTTAAATGCTTGAACAAATACAAATAACTATAGTAATAGTCCAATTAGGTTCCAGAGGCAATTACCATATTTCATTGAGTTTACAATATATCTATTTCACATGTTAATTTCTTGAAAATCAGAATGCATCCTACTACCGATGGTGCTGTAGCCTTGTCCTACTTGAACTGACAGCGTTTTTTAATAGTAAATAAGATAAGATGTCATATAATTGATGGCATCTAGGATACAATGAAAGGCTCCAATTTGATTTGGCATATCAGATACATATGGTATATCACTCCTTTTTACAGATGATTTGTAAATTTGGAGCATGTTGTAGGAATGTTTCTGCCTTGTTTCAGTATAGCTCGGCATATGTATAACCAGTAGGTATTTACAAAAATGCCAAATACTGAAATAACCCCAAAATATGAGGAATCAATATACCTGGCATTTATGAAGCACTTAGTATAACTTAGACACTGAGTTAATAATTTATTTGCATTGTATCAGTCTCCCTATCTTGAAAGCAGAAAGCAACCCTTCTTAGATTATTATGAAGATTAATATGTGAAAAATGACATTAACTAGAGCAATTAACCTGTTGTGCTCCTTAGCAACTAAATTAATTAAATGATTTATTAAAATTTGGAATGACTTTTTGGAGCTGGGAAAAATCTGAAGGAAGTACAGCTTACAAATAAAATTCAGAATTGTTTTTAAATCTGAGTTTAAATTTTGCCAATTTGCCCTATCAAGCAAACATTGTTTAGAATTATTTTCCTTCCCAATATGAAGAGAGAAGGTCTAGTTAATACAAATTAAAATTCCTTCAGTATCTTTTTTATAAACAATATTTAACCATAGTGCCTCTTATTATGAGGAAGAAAGATTCTCACATTAGAAACCTCAGTAGCGTGTAGAAGGCTTATCCCATTTTGAAGTGAGTGCACGAATCCAGCCGCAGGATGGCAGGCAGTGTAAGGGCCTCACGGAACAGCCCACAGTCAGCATCCCTGATACGTGCAAAGGTTGTCTGGGCTCGGGTTCCCCTGCAGGTGGTGCTGTGGTGAAGCTTTGCTACCACTGTGCTCTCTTGTGAACCACATTCTGGAGGTTGCTCTAATGTTCATTTGTGTTGGCTGAGTTCTTTGAGCACGTATACTCCCACATCATTTGGTGGTAACTGAAATGTGATCTATGTTGCTTTTTATTTTCCAAAACCCTTCTAGATAAAAGCGGCAATATGAATCTTGACAAAATGTTTTAAAATTTATGTGACGGGAAGTGTGTGTAATTATAAAGATTACCGTTGTAGTTTATTTTTTGTGCACCAACAGAAACATTAGCTAATTGGTTATGAAATACTAACTTATTTAGATAACTCTTAAAAGACTTCCTCTTTTCTCCCAGTAAAAATAATTGAGAAAAATACCGTCAAAGAGCAGTTTCCACATTTGTCTTCGCAGTAAACGATCTTAATGGCCAGTTCCACATACAAGTGCCTTAGGATGGAGAAAGGCAGGCCAAGGTGGTACACAAGGCGGCCACATCTGGAAAAAGGACAAATGCAAGGTCATCACAATGTTTTCTGTATCAGGAGCCTACTCCAGCGTGGCTCAGAGTAGCATTGTGTAGGTTTGGTGGTCTCGTAACTAAGATACGTCCATGCCGTCGGTAAGTGTCCCTCAGACGAGTCTCAAGCCGCCGGGCACTGTGGCCCAGGGCAGGGCACAGTGAGACTGCAGTGAGTCTGACAGCGTTTAGGAGTGATAAGACGTACCACCTCAAGTGATACCAAAACTCTTGAGGACAGTCACTGTGACTTGGTCGAGTACAGTTTTGTGACTTAAAAGTTCTACCATTGCGCGAGCTCCTGGCATCGTAAATGAAGCTCTGCAAAACCACAGGCGCTTTTCCCAACTGTAAAAGCAGCCTGAAGCCCACACAGCAAGGAATCACAGCACAACCGAAAAATCCTAGAGTCTTGGCCAGTAGCCCATTTACTTAAAAATATACCTGATACAACAAAAGTTCAGCACAATGGAAGAAATACGAGAATGCTAGCACTCCCAGAAAAAAAAGCTTGTCCATAATTTACCCAGTATATATGATTTTATGTGACTATCAAAGGTTTACACTTTGCAGGTGGTTAAAGTAAAACTCTGCGGTTCTAAAAGAATGACAGTATTAGAAATATTTACAGTAAGACCAAGGAGGGCTTAGGCCTAGGTCAAGTCTAAAGAGCCAAAAGAAAACAGAACACCCACTACAAGTGTTAATAATATCAAATAATGTGTGCACTGAGGTTCCCAAAATGCAAATGTTTTATTTGTGCATGGAATCAAAAGCAGATTTGTACTAGTTATACCTAAATAATTAACACACTTTATATTTCAGAAATTCAGGTATATAGTCCTAAAATTATTCCTTAGATTAGAAATAAGCAAGTGATCTGCAAAGTGTGGTTCTTCACCAGCAAATCCTTAGGTTCGAGCCGTACATGATAGACAAATTGACCCTCACTTTTGTTAACCAGAGCACCAGTTCTAACTGGTAGGGGGGAGTGTAGGCAATCTTCCTTATTTCCTTACTGAAATGGTGGGTTCCTTTATGCAAAAGGAAGTCATTTCAAAAAGGTTCAAACCAAACATTTTAATGGGTTCACTTTGAAACAGTATTCGGTAATAAAATCAAAGCAGGTGTCTTGTCTTAAATCACTTGCTATTAAATTAAATACAAGGGAGGTATGTTTTAATTTCTGGTGGTGTGTGTGCACATGTGTACATACCTGTCATATATGAGGAAGTCGTCTTTGTTTCCATTTAAGAGAGTCCAGACATCTGTTTGGTTTTCTTCTTGTTGATAAACAGGAATATGCTCTGAAACCTTATTTTTAAGATACATATATTTTGATCGAGAAGCGAATCCTTGATGGTTAACGATAACATACGAGATGTTAGCAAAACCTTCTTTCTCCAGTTTTACTCGCAGGTCTTCCAAACTAAAGTAATTGGGAAAAATACAAAAAAATGAATAATCTCATTTAATTTTATTAGTGACTTCTCTCTTTCTCCTCTTTGTTTTCTACATGAAACTCGCTACTTTTTACACACTCATACACCCTTCTACTTTTGCAAAGGACTTTAAGTTATTTTTTCACTATTTATTGAGCCCTTGTGCTCAGTTAAAACCTTATGCTAAATGCTTGTACAAACATTACCTCATTTTGTCCTCAACCATATTAAGTGCATATTTTTAAGTCCATCTTACAATTACAAAGAATTTTACCCAGTAAGTAGTTGACAACCCAACAAATATTTTTACACAGACCTGTTATATATATTTAACAAATTTATATAAATTTTATATATATATTTTTTCAATGTCCTAAGACCTTTGTGTCAAGTCTAGTGTTCTTTCTACTCTGGCAAAGGACTCGCCTTCATATGCTATATTGAAATAGCTAATGCATTTGCAGAAGTCCATTTTAGAACACTTTCATTACACAAGTAATACATTTTTAGTAGGGCATTATAAAATATAGGTCCACAAAAAGATGAAAAAAGTTTCATAGTCCCAGGAAGATCACTAACATTTTGGTAAACATTTTGGTGTATATCTTCCTAGTCTTTTCTCTTCAAAGATGTTCCATCCAAAGATGTATAGTTTTTCCAAAAATGTGATTTACTAAATATATCTTTTCTCCTTGTTTTAAATTTTATGTACATATGTATTTAATAGCCTTTCCCTGAAGAAATCGTAGGCCACAGAAAGGCTGCCTCACCTGGATGCCTGCATAATGCAAAAGGGTCAGCTGGCTTGGAGGAGGGCGACCACGGTGACCGAGCCCTGGGAGTTCAGCATCGGGTCTTGATCCCCGATGCTCCAGGCTGGAGGCTGCTTACATAAGGACTTCTGCCCCTGGCTCTGCGCTCCTGCCCAGGGGAGGAGGCAGAGAGCCAGGGCGAACCCCAGGCTGCTCCACATGGCTGGGGTTGTCCTGTAAAAGAGGAACACTTGCTGTCACCTTCGTTGATGGTGTCACAGTCATACTAGGAATGTCTATAAATCCGGCAGGTATAGTTCACCTTCCTGTGAATATCTAGCCATGGATTCTGTCCGCATGTTGTTGGGCTCATGACATTAGCCCTCCACGCACCAAATATTCCTTTAAAGGTGAAAAGATCAGCCAGAGGCCAGGTAGCTGTCAGAGCACCTTGTAACTGTGTGTCTCAGCAAGACACTTCGGTGAGCCTGCTACAGAGACTTGCCTGAACAGAAGGCAAGTACTTCTCTAGGAGACAACATGTATTTAGAAAAAGTTTGACACCATGGCCGCTACAACTCAGTGGTGTGCTGCAAACACGATTTGATTTCTGAGGTACACCGAGTTCTGGTTGCTCCTTTCCACCCGTTATCAATCTAGGCAAGGGAAGGGGAAGTTGGGGATTCCACGCAGAAATGAAAAGAGCCAGCGTGGAAAGAGAGCCCAGGAGAAGACGAGGCGGCAGTAGGGCGACTGGAAGGCAGCTCACGGGAGCCCCTAGTCTCCAGGTTCTAACCTTCTGTGCCCATAAATCTCTTGGGCATAGCTCCCTATAGTTGCTCTTGTTTTTTAAAGTCTAGTGCTGTGCCCAAGTAAAGGATCTGAATCTCTTAAGCTATAAAACTACTTGCCAAAATGTCACTACCACATCCAAGGTAAATATGGACCAATGCAAAAAACCTTCCCAAGGAAAATACTGCATATCCATATCCACAACTCCCTGTATTATTTAAGACTCAGTGAAATTCACACTCAATTAGTCTATTGGCAACCAATACTCTCTGGAAGTTCCCATGTCTAGGTGGCATATTTTTGGGTTAAAAAAAAACAAAAATAAAAAATACCAAATGCCTCCTCTGAATAAGAAAGTTATATACGACCAGAAATTCCCCAAACTGGGGCTATTAGCTGTCTTGGCAGACAGCTACAAATAAACAAGGTGAATTGTAGAGAGGTAGTGAAAAAAAGACCACATTCAGCCAAGATGAGCAGAGAGAAAAATCCGTACAGGTGAGTAATCAGGCTCATTTTGATGTAAGACTCTAAGGAAAGATATCAGGACAAAATTCCAGAACTAAGAAGTTAGCATCTTTTCAGGCACTGATGTGAGATTAAAAAAAAATAAAAAATAAATAAAAGCCACCTTTTATTTGGGGGTTGGGGGTGAGAGGAAGCTAATGTTAAGTTTCCTAAAGTAAGCCCAGAATTAAGAGGGCAGCAGGCTAATACCAGATTGATCTTGGCTCTAATGTATGGCTAGATAGAGGTGGGGCTTTATAGAACCTGGCTATCTTCCACATTATTTAACAAGATTCCTACTTATCTATCATGCTAAGGGCCTAACTTAAGAGAAGGGGGTTGGTTAAGAGAGGATAAATTAAATAATTTTATTAAGGCCATCCCAACTATTATAATATTTTTTAAACCCTAATATTTAAGAAAAGGAGAAAATAGATCTAGGTGAAATCTAGGGAACTTCTTTAGTATAGTATTTGTATTGATGGTGATAATTATCCTTACTATAGCTACCATCTATTCAGCATTTATAAAACTACATGCAGGTGGTGCTAAGCAATTTTTTCTATCAGGTCAGTTAATCCCAACAACTATGTGGGCATTGTCTCCTGCTGCAGCTGAGGGCACTATGGCTAAGAGAAAGTTCAGGTGTCTTGCCCACGTCCCCACAGGTAGTAAGTCACAACAGAGGCGGGATTCAAACCAGCTCAGCTCACTCCAAAACATGATTCCCCCGCTGCTGTAACACATAGGTGGGTTTTATTTAGATGGGTCACCTGTAGTAACTAGAGCAACCAGGGGTTTTGCTTGTTTGTCTGCTTTCTGCCCTAGCACAGCAGAGGAAACATTAGAATCCTTCAGGCTGTTTTCTTTCTTGCTGAAATGGCTAGATTTAGCCCTACTTTCTAGAATGTAAATTCCGTAATTATAGGATCATCAGCATAGATGCAGCACTTGGTACTCTCAGTTTGCCATGTAACATAACGTTCCAAATGGCTAAATAGCGAAAAGGCTCTTTCACTCCTTTCCCTCATTTCTTTCTTTGATGGAAAAATAACTCAAACCATTAGCAGAGGCCAGTGAATTCGATAAGAGTTCACACTTTCAGACTTTCTTCCGTTGTTGCAACCAACAGGCTGTTCAACTGTGCTTATTTAAGATCTTTTTTCCTTTAACATAATACTTTTGAGTACACTGACAGCTGTCGGACAGCTACATAGAAAGAATAAAGATAACAGAATTGGTTTACTGGAGGCTGATCCCATAACGCTCAGAAAGTATTTACCAATTTCACCCCCTTTCAATTACAAAACAGATGTGTGGGCCACAGGCAGACCTACATTGTTTAAAATTCCCCATGAAAAGGCAGGCTGTGCGGGACCTGTCTCCACCCTTGTCCCTTGGACTTCAGAGGAGCATTTGAGGGTCCCTCCTCATTCACCAGAAAGCGCCCGCTCACCACTTAAACTGCAAAACTTGGCCCTTCATCCCGGAGCACCCCATTTTGACATGGGTTGTAACTCTTCCAGAGGTGAGCATCCCTTCACAGTGGACCAAACCCGTTCTCCCTTTTTACTTTTTTTTTTTTTTTTTCCTGAAACTGCTCACAATATCCCTGGACATTCCACATCGCTGTAGAATGGCCGCAACTTCCTGCAGGCTCTTCAAATCTGTAGGCTGCCTTTGCCTTAGAGTTCTCGCTCTGCGTTCCAATGGGAAGTCTGTAAGCTTGGCCATACAATATTGCCTATGCAACATCACACCTTTTGGCAGAGTCAGAGTGTTAAATTTCTCCAGCCTCCCCTGCTCCCACCTTGCAGCTCCGCTGTGAGGAAGGCAGGGCAGAAATCAACCAGACCCTCAAGGCGCCCTCAGCAGAGCTGCACCCACCACACCCAGCTTTACAGGACATTTGCTCTCTTTCTTCTGCATCGGTTTATTTTCTTTACCTACCCCTTCTTTTAGAATCTATTCTCAAAGGCAACAAAAGCTTTATCAGACTCAAAATCATTCACCGAGCTCTGAGTGAGTAAGAACTGGGAGACACAAAGTTCCTACTCACGTTGTGACGACCCCTCGGACAAGGCTGCGTCCTCGTCTTGGCTCCGCAGCTGGGCTCCGCACAGGGCGGCCAGGACCCGGGTATTTATAGCCCTGTTGTTTACCTCCCCCTCGGCCGCCGTCCAGGGTCCAGAGCTCCCTGGGGCTGTGACCTTGTAACCAGGGCAAACCCCTGAGCTGACTATGACAATCCACCCAAAAAAAAGTAAGCACGGACTGCCCTGCGCAATGCGTGGGGGTGGGGGGCAAGGGGGGCAAGATATTGGCAAACCGCTTATCCTTCTCAGTCACCCCAGCACCTAGGTTTAATGGTACAGTCGGGGTGGGAGGAAGGGCTAAGGAGAAAGAGGACGTCCAAGGCGTGTGTTTTTCCAAACTATAACAGGGAAAAGCATTTGCTGAGCCAGCCAGTTAAGCCACTGCTTTAAAAAAAAAAAAAAAAAAAAAGCAGCAGCAGCAGCAGCTTCCCCCCACACACCCCTTTTGCTTTGTAGTGGCCAAGCCTAACCCCAGCTGTGAGCACTTTGTTAGAAAGATCACCTGCTGTTTCAACCCCCCCCCCATCCCCCCACTTCCTCCTGCTGTTACCAGCTCGGACTGTTTGGCTTTGTTTGAAACGCATCCCACAGGACCTCAGCTCTTTTCCTTTTCATTTAAGGAAAAGAATAAGGGAACAGGCCTCCTATCTGGGGAAACCAAGCCTCATTTCATTTTCAGAAAGCCCGACTCCCTGGAAGACCTGTGCACCCCCCAGGATTTTTTTTATCGACTGTAAAATCTTTACAAATAAAAGGTAGCAGTGACAGTAGCTGGACATGGGAAAGGGGCTAAGACATTTCAGAACATGCGAATAAAATGGAAAATCCCTACTCTTTCAGAAAGGGGTGAATTCTTTCCACCAGCCTGCGAATGGGGAAACGTCGGGGATAATGTCGGCGGCGACTGTTGGAACCTCGGAAAGGTCAACCGGAGCAGCCTATCCAGCGCGAAGACAGGGCCCGCACAGCAGGTTAGCACGCCTCCAGCAAGTGCGCAGGCTGTGTACTTTAGGCTTTCCCCTCTAGCGCCAGAGTTCCTGCAAATCTGACCCAGCACCACCTAGGAAGCTATCCTGTTTCCCTTTTTGTGAATGATTAGAATCTCCTGGCAGGTTGCCCTAGCCCCCGCCACACGATCCAACCTGACTGTTGAAGTTGGTCGTTCTCTTAACGACCTCGTCTTTTACACCTTCCAGCCCCAGAGCCAAGGATCTCTTTCTTCACACTGTCTCGTTCTTCCACATCCTTATCGTTTGTCCCCAGGATGTCTATGCCTCTATTGAATCCATGTTTTTAATAAGCTTTCAAACCTTTGTATGGGTCTAAGGTGAATTCCATGGAGAACAGGCCCCTATACATCTGAGTCCATGGTGAACTGGAAAGAGAAAAGGGCTATGAACTATGACTTTTTAAATCAGTTTATTAGCTATAGCTGGTGATCGTGTGGCATCGATCCATGGCCCTTGGAAAACACCGGGATCTCAAAATGTTAGAAGGTGAAAGAGTACCGCTGCTCCCTGAAGGGCCTGTGTGAAATACTGGGCCCTCAGCTTGATCGTTAGGAGGCGTTTTCTGTGCGAAGGGAAATGAAGACTTTCCTGCTCTCTCGGGAGATAGTGCCTGTGGACCTGAGTTGTTCTTCCCTCTCTAGAACATGCACAAGAAGGTGCACGAGGCCTCATCCTCAGCATTGGACCAAGTATAATATTTTGGGGGCGTCCATATTGAAAGATACGTAAGAGGTGCCTACGAAAAACAAGATGTTCTCCAAGTAAACAAGATAAATGAGAACAATGATGAGAGGAAGGCGTGGGGACCGCAGCCTGAGTGAGATACAGACTCGCTGAGTCCCTCGAAATTCAGGGGAAATTGAAATCTGCTTTGAAGGGAGCTTTTCTCCAAGCTCACAAGCTCGCAGATTTGAGAACTGTCTGATAGCTCAAACGGAAGCGTGATTAAGGAGGAAGCTGGCAACACATCAGGCCAGATTTCATGTGGGCACATGAGAGAGGAACAAACAGCAGAAGAATTTTTGCTCGAAACAGGATGTTGTCAATTTTTTTTAAAAAAGAAGCATGTCCAAAGCTGGTGCCTGCAGCTCCTCATGGGACACAGTGTTACATCAACATGCAAGACGCGTGCAGGGACATCAAAGGACCCCCAAACGACATTCATCCCCCGAATTACTGAAACACCCACATTTAGAGAGTTTGCCATTTGTGTGTTGAGCTATAGCAAAACCTGGTTTTTGCTATACCTCAACATTTGTGTTTTGAGCTAAAGCACATGTAAGTACTTTAATCATTTACTAATTGGTAGAAGAATTTTGACAGTTTCTTAAAACAGTTGTTATTTTTTAAAATAATGACATTATTAATGATTATTGTATAAAAATGATTATTCTCTATATAAAAATATTAATGATTCTTAAAATGTTCATTGTTTGAAAAACTAAAGAATAAAACATTTCAAGTAATTTTGAAGCATTTTCGTTAACATTGAATTGTTAACCTGATGATGTTTTAAAAACTGTGTACTCTTATAAATTGATGTTCTATTAACTTATTTTTAATTTGTCTTTAACAATATCAGTAGCGAGTGGATAAAACAACTATGGAACATTGACAGTCGAATACTACTCAGCCATCAAAAAGAAGAAAATTTTACCCTTCGCGGCAGCACGAATGGACCTGGAGAACATTGTGCTAAATGAAATAAACCAGTCAGAGAAAGACAAATACCGTATGATTTCACTCATGTGTTTGTTCACTAATGAACAAACTAAATTAACCAGTAAAATAGAGACAGGCTCGTAGATAGAGAGCAGGATGACCACTAAGGGAGGTGGAAGGTAGTGGGTGGAGGGACTGAGCAAAAAGGAGAAAGACCTCATGGACGTGGACAACAGCGTGGTGATTGCAGGGGGAGAGGGGATAGGAGGACTCAGTGGTGATGGGAAAAAATACAATAAAAAAAAGAAGAAAAGATCAGCACCCGTTCCTCATTCATTTTTTAAGCCTTGAGGAAGCATCTCTGTATGTATTAGAGCTGCGTCCACCTAACACTTTATAGCTTCTTTTGGGCTCACACACACTCAGCTGTTGTGCTTAGTGGGAGATCAAGGGGGTTGGTTTAGTCACGTGTAGCCACATTGGACAGAGATAAGGTGGGAAAGTGGCACCCGGACTTGTACTGTCTGCCCTGCACTGCAGGTGAGTTGGTCCCCAGTCTTCATGGGGGAAAGAGCAAATTATGCCGTAGTTAACCAGCACTCGCACTACATTAAATGTGTGGCTTTGATCCAGACTCCTTATGTGGACTTAATGGTTTTTAGAAACCTGTTTTCCTAGGAAGAATATTTCTGGCAGGTCTTAACGCCATTTTTCTGATTGGAATTTGGAGTACATTTTATGGAATTTCTCCCTAAGTGTCTCATCTAGTTTTCCCAAAATCTTAAGTGGAATGCACTTATTTCCTTCTTGTTCCTGTTCTTGCATTTTCTAATAAATGGCTCTCGCCCATTGTCTTTTTCCTGTCCTAGCAAATGAACTGGCCCGCCCAGCAGGCAGTTCAGAAGTTCAGAGTCCACACCCAAAGGCAGGGTGGACAGGGTTGCCTTTGGCTCAAAGTTCCGGGAGACACCGATGTCAGAGGACCCCGTAGAGCTAAAATCTGAGTCTGAAGCTGAGATTTATAGAACTCCAAATAAGTCCACAAACTAAGGGGAGCCAGTGGTGAGGCCTAAAGAGACAGGTATGGAACTGGGAAAAGGGAACCGAGAGAGATCAGGGAGTTTGGGATCAAAAGAACGATCTGGAAGCCGTGCCTGGTTGGATACCTGGGCAGGCCTTGTTGACAGTAGCTGGCCATTACATACTTCACAGGGCAGCGTAACCAGGACCAGAGACAGGTGTCCCTGATAAGCATTGGGAACATGTCACAGCCATTCTCTAGACCCTTGGGGGCTCTGAGCCACAACAGTGGAGAGTCACTAGGCAGCTTAATACAAATGACTGATTCTTAATAAGTATTTATAAGAATATATAAATAAATGATAATTTTTTCATGAGACTTAAGAAATGAGAAGTCCAAATTCTGTACACTTATATAATTCTACTGAAATCCCTGTGAAATTCTGTATAGCCCCAAAACTGATCCAAACCTAATAAATCATGTGCTTGAAATTATTTTTATCTTGGACAGTTCTCAGGGTCAGAGCTGCCATATTTGCTGATGAAGCTCAAGTGAATATTCATTTCCTCACGTATCCTAGATGTGGAAAACAGGTCTTTTAATGAATTCCTTCTCAAAACAAATAATGCCTTAGACTAGCTGCTAAAAACATGTATGCTCATGTTCCTTAAAACCTGTAGAGCTCTCTGTTGTGTGTCTAACATGCCAAATGGAGGGAAGTTTACACAGTTGAAATGTTTTCTTCAGAGCCACCCTTCTCATCCCAGTCAAACAAGCATTTCAAGTCAAGGTGCATTGATTGCCTGATGGTCTTCATTTGCCCCTTCATTTTCCATGTGTAGGTACCAAAAAAGTCTTCTAGGACTTGTGTTGATGGTTTCTCAAAACTTAAGTGTTTTCTGATAGAATAGAACCTTAAGGTAAATGTTATGAGTTTGCTGATGGAATAACCAATTAAGTATAAAAATTTCAGATCAGATAGCTTTATATAATGGTCATTAAGAACAGTTCAACTTTTCAAAAGAGGTACTATGGTCTTAATTTGTATCTCACAGTGGTGGAAAAGAATATATTGGGGATAAATAAATGTAGTGATTCTTCACATACTGTTTTACAACTACTTTTAATTTAATAATATATCTTACCAAGCCATAGACATCGCTCTATGTCAATGTGGAGAGTTACCTCGTTCTGTTAAAAAATTGCACATTATTTCATTCTATGTGTGTGCCTGTGTCCTAATCTCATGAGGACACCAGTCATGTTGCATGAAGGCCCATCCACGGGAATTCTTCAAAGGCCCTGTCTCCAAACACAGTCACATTCTGAGGTACGAGGGGTTAGCACTTCAACACACGGAATTGGGGGAACACACTCGGCCTGTAACACTGGCCATTTGTACTTCCTCTCCTGTGAAACTCC